AAATTTAATTTTTGGGTCAAATGGGGAAAGAAAAGGGAAGGAGTTAAAGGCGGGAGAAAGGGGATAGGTATATTTTAATTTTTTTGTGACAGAGAGAAAGAGAAAAAAAAGGGAAAATCTAGACAGGAGACTTATAGGTGGACAGGAGACTTATAGGTTTTTTTAATTTTCTAAAAAAATATTTTTAATTAAAAAGGGTTTTTGATTTTCTTGAAAAAATGAGGAAAGCGGAAAGGATTAGGAATTTTTCGTTACTTTTGTAAGGAAAAGGACAGACTTTTTAAATCTTCTTAAACCTGTTAATTTTTATCTCCAATTTTGCTACTTGCTGATAATTCTTCACTAAAATATTCCAATAAAATTATTTTCCAAAATTTTATTTTTAATAGTTATTATGGAGCAATAAATTTGGTAACATTTAATGTCGGATATCATGTTGAACATCACGATTTTCCTTATGTTACAGGAAAAAATTTACCAAAAGTATAAATTAAAATTTTTTTCTTCAAAATTTTTTCTTAGATTTCAAAAATAGCTCCAGAATTTTATCAAAATCTTTCAATACACAAATCTTGGATTGGACTATTTTTTGATTTTGTGAGTAAAGAATTGTTAAAATAAAAATTTTTTTAAAGATTATTGACCCAAAAATCAGCCTTCGTAGCCGTGTTAAACGAAAAGTAGATCCTTCGCTAATTCAATTTTATGGAGCAGGGAATTATGCTACAAGTTATGTACACAAATTTGTTGCTTCGGTCAGTTAATTTTTAAAAATTAAAAAAAATAGAAAATTTTCTAAAGGCTATCAGTTCCATTAACTAGAAATTCAAACAATGAAATCTCCAAAAATAAAAATAAGTGAATGAAAATTTTTAAAATTGTTAAGAATTTTGTGCCATTTTTTGAATAGCTTTTAAACTTATTTTTCTAAACAAAAATTAATTTGATAAAATAAAATAAATAAAATTTATTTATAAATACATATATATATATATATATATATATATATATATATATATATATATATATATATATATATATATATATATATATATATATATATATATATATATATATATATATATATATATATATATATATATATATATATATATATATATATATATATATATATATATATATATATATATATATATATATATATATATATATATATATATATATATATATATATATATATATATATATATATATATATATATATATATATATATATATATATATATATATATATATATATATATATATATATATATATATATATATATATATATATATATATATATATATATATATATATATATATATATATATATATATATATATATATATATATATATATATATATATATATATATATATATATATATATATATATATATATATATATATATATATATATATATATATATATATATATATATATATATATATATATATATATATATATATATATATATATATATATATATATATATATATATATATATATATATATATATATATATATATATATATATATATATATATATATATATATATATATATATATATATATATATATATATATATATATATATATATATATATATATATATATATATATATATATATATATGCATTTTTTAACAAAACCAAGCATAAGAAAAAAAAGAAATTTAATTTTTGGGGTCAAATGGGGAAAGAAAAGGGAAGGAGTTAAAGGCGGGAGAAAGGGGATAGGTATATTTTAATTTTTTGTGACAGAGAGAAAGAGAAAAAAAAGGGAAAATCTAATGGGGGATTTCGTTGTGGGTGGGGTGGGTGACCTTTATTTTTTTACATTTAATTTTTAAATTTCTACAAAATTTAAAAAAAAAGTAAAGGAGGTAAATATTGAAAAAGAAAAGAATTTTTGGATTATGTTTTTTAAAAAAGAATAATATGCACGAATTTTTGGGAAAATTTGAAAAATTTCAATTTTGAACAGAAACAATTTTAACAGCATTTCGCGCTTTTGCTTCTTTTTCCAAAGTTTTGCGTTCGCGTTCTATTCGCTGCTTTATGGCTTTTATACGTTTTTTGATAACTGCACGTTCTGAATGATTAAATAGACCCATTGCCTGAAATTAAAAAAAAATGTTTAAACCCTTATATGTTTTTCTTAAAATTACTTTTAATTTGGAGCCGTCCAAATCGAGAAATTTGGGTCCTGTAACTTTGTTGACTGTAAATTCTGAAAATTAGATTTATTATGTTAATGATCTCATTTTTCTTCATACATCTCTAATTTTTTTGTATCCCCAAACCTTCCAATTATTTCATTATCTGACTCATTCCACTCTCTTTTACTTATCCTCAACTTATGTATATTTATTGTTTATTCACCTGGTATATACTTTTCCAATCCCAAATGAATTAATAATTGACATATATCATCAACACCCCAATTTAATACAGCCATTCCTTGTGCTTCTTGATTTTCACGCCAAAATTCATTTTCTGCTGGAGCAAAACAACGTCGTCGCAAAGGGAAAAGACCGAGGCGTGGGCCTGTACTATTACTTTGTTGAATTGTTGTCCCATGTCCAATATTATGTTTTGCCCATTTCTGTGGGAGTGCAGGGGAGGCTGGCTCTGAAATTCTTGGAACGGGGCTGCCTAGAGAAGGACCGGAATGTTGATTTCTGTTTTCATATGGTGCAGAAGCCATTTCCTCAATAGCAGGTGATAGAGGATGCCCAGGGGAAGGAAGAGGACGTCCTCCAAAATGAATAAGGTAATGTGGTGGATGTGTTGTCCCAGAAATAATTGGAGCGGCTGATAAAGGGACTGAATTGGAAGTCTGTAAAGAGAACAATTTTAAATTTGGATTTTTAAGTCTGACAACTAACAAGTCCAGCATGTCGAAGTCCCACAGGTCGGAATTGACGCTGGTGCTGTTGTTGTTGGTGCTGTTGTAATTCCCCTTCACGTTGTTGTTGGCGTGGTTGAGGAAGCATTAATTCATTTCTTCTTTGTTGTTGAGTTTGATTTGTGTGGTGGTGGTTACCTCTATGAGCTGGTGGTGCTGGTGGAGGTTCATTTTCTTGTTGTTGTTGTTGTGGAATGAATTGTTGTTGTTTTTCCCTTTCCTTTTCATTATTATTATCCTCCTTCCTTTCAGCTATAGCTAATTCTATCCTTTTTTCCAATTCTTCAATACGTGAACGTAAATTTAATATAAGTTCAGAATATTCCTTTTCTTTTGTACGCATTAGTTCAATATGTGTTTCTTCACGTTTAAGCATTTCTCTTTCTCTTTCTTGAAATGATTTGACAATATCTCTAGCTTGATTATATCTTCCTTCTAATTGTGAATAATGTTGTCTTGTATTTTCTAATAAAGAATTCATTTCTTCAGCTTTTCTTTTTGATTGTTCCAATTCAATTTCTAATAATTTTATTCTTGAATTTATTTCTTGTTGATTATTTGATTGTTGTTTTGAAGAGTGAATGGATGTTTGCTGTTGTTTTTGTTGTTGTTGATTTGATTGCGAAGTTGATAGAGAATTGACAATCTTGTCTTTTTGCTAATAAAAAAGTTTTTATAAGCAAATCAATTTTTTGAGGCTTTTGAACGGTTTATATTTGAATGTTGATAATATATAAACCAGCAGATGTTGTCAGGCATCGAACCTGTGTCACCTATTTAGTACAAATCAAGCAAGCTACCCACTACACCACAGAAATGAATTTTTAATTCTTTAAAAAGGCTACCTGTCCTTCATTTTCTTCTTCTTCTTCATCCTCTTCATTACAACTATTTTCAACTCTATCCCACAATTTTTTTATTTGATGTTTATGTTTTTCCCCAAGCCTTTCTTGCTCTAAACTTTGATTTATTAATTGAGCTACTTCACTTCCTTCTAAATTATGTTCACGTCCAATTGTGAATTGAACCCTAGGACCTGTTGAACGAAGATTTTGTGCAGCAAATCTGTGGCAAAAAAATTCAGAATTGTTTTTTTCAAATCCTTACAATTGTGAAACGCCAACAAGCGAAATACCGTCAACACAAACTATTTGGTCACAAACTCTAATACGCCCGTCACGATGGACAGCACCTCCAGTGGTTATACTTTTTACAAAAATTCCAAGTTTTTCTAATCCAGCATCTGCACCAACGCCCATACCTATTATACTTGAAAGAAAGGGAAAGTTAATTAACAACAAATATGTTTTTTACTTAATTCCTAAACCTTCAGGGCCTTTTTCAAGTTCAACATCAAACAGCTCCATACGCTCTAGTCGACGTTCCAATTCATATTCTGCACAACTAGCTACAGGATCTATTTCTTCATTGCGACGATCGTATTCTTCTATGCCCTTCAAAAAAGGGAGAGAATTTTTGATTCTACTTATCATCAGGGATTCCGAAATCTGATCCGACCTTTCCCTCTTAATCCACCTAAATAACCAGACACGAACCTGACCATAAATCCGAAACCCTAACTTTTTTAAAACCCAAAACAACATCTGAAGAAAATTTTGAAAACCCGACCCGACTTTTTTCTCAACCTATCCCATCCTTGTTACGCATTATCAGTTCGCTTACATGTGTTTTATAAACACGGATTGGAGCTGTACTAAAAGATATTTTCCTGCCGCTATTAACCAATTGTTCATCTGGCGATAATCCTCTAACTGTTTCAACATTCAATTGTGTTTCTATATCTTCTGTTATATTATTTTGTTTTTTTGACGGGGATGAAGAATTTGGACGAGGTTCACTTGGCACAGATTCATCGCCCCCAGATTCACTTCCACCACCTCCTCCGCTGTTAGTGGGAGAATGATCTTTACGGGGGGATATTTCTGCAATAAAAAGAGAATAATGAAGATTGGCACAAAAAATGCCTCGCCGACATCTGCGGACCGATTTTATGGAAAGACGAAATTAGAACAAATACCGTGTGATAGTTGGCCTCACAAGTAATTGCCCTCTCTCTCTCTCTCAATTACTCTTCAGCGAGAGGCTGAAACAATTCTCTGGGGTAGTTATTCGACCATATAAGGTAAACAAAGTGACCACAAATGTCGGTCCGCAAATGTCGCTTCATACAAAATTTACTTTTTTGAGAATCTTCTTGGCATTCTGTGTTAACAGAATTATTTCTTTCAATGCTACCAAAAAGACGTTCTCTATAATAAGCTGGCCTTCTCCAATAAGCATCATATCCAATTTGATTATCTTTTTGATTTGCTTTATTTAAATTTTTATTTTCCTTCTTTTTAATTTCTTCTGTTATTTTTTCTTTTTCTCTTTTCTGTCCATTTTCGTCGTTTTTTGTGGCACTAAAAAATTATTTTACTTTAATCGGGTCCATCCCACGAGATCAACACACTAGAAGATAACAGAGGGAGATTAGAACCAAAATTTGTCAGAATAAACTGATCCTTTTTCACTCTAAATTCGCCAATTTCTTAGTTGGAAATTTTAATGATATTTTGGAGTTGATCTCCACGAAGTTGTCCTCTAGGGTGTTGTACTCAATGAAAGTGATCTCATAGGTCGATCCCCTTTTAATTTAAAATTTTACTTCGTTTTATTATCCCCTCCTTCATTTGCAACAATTCTAGATTCACTAGCAATTCTCTCAACATCAGAGGCAAATTGGCTAAAATTGCGCGCAAGTTGGGTTAAAGGGCTGCCGGGTATGGGGTATTTTTGGTTGTTATTTGTATTTTCAATTAAAGGTTTTGGAGGTATTAAAGGTGGATGTTGTTGTTGTTTATTTGGGGTTGTTGTTGTTGATGTATTAAAACCTAAACTTGCTGAAGAAGAACGTTGTAAACGTGGAGAATAAAAACAAGGTAAAAGGCGATTATTTTGTTGTTGTTGTTGTTTTTCTTTATTAAACAAACTTTCAGCTTGTTTTTCCATTCTTTGAAAAAGTGCTTTATTTGCTGAAAAACGACTACGGGCGTCTGGAGGATTTTTATTCAAATTTTCTATTTTTTGAAAATTTTCTTCCTCCTCTACTTCTTCATCTGAACAAGATTGCGAAATTGAAGAATCTGAAGAATGAGGCATTGAATGACCGCTAACTCCAGTAAGGGAACGTTCAAGCCTAAAATTGAGAAAAAATTTTAGTTAGAGCGACTTTGACATTTGCGGACTGTAATAAGAAAACATGTTTTCTTATGTATTATAACAGCAAAAAGTATATGTAGAGTATGCCCTGCGGTGATCCAAGTTCAATTTTTTTAGTCCGCAAACGTTTTTGTGGGCTCAAAGTTTTTATTTACTAAATACCTAATCAAATCAGGCTTTCTCCTTTGTTGTTGTGTTGCTATTATTGTAGCTTCTTGATGTTCATAATTATAATTTGTATTTGTACTCCCCACACCATTAGAAGTTTGAGCCGAAATCATTTTTAATTAAAAAAAGGAAAGACTTGATATAATTTTGATAATAAAATAAAATTTATGATAACATTAAATGAACTGGAAAATTAAAAAAAAATTTTTTGTTTTGTCTGTTGATGAGCTGGATTTACGAGAAAAAAGAGGGCGGGGGAAAGATTTAAAAAGAGAACAAAGAAAATTATATAAAAAAGGGAAGTGTGCGCAAAATTTACGTTTTATGATTTTGTTGTTGTTGCGCAATTTTGGGGGAGAGAGTAGAGGGAAGGTTGGAGATTATTTTGTGAATTTTTGGGGAATTTGTGAGGGGGAGAGGGCAAGAAATTAGAAAAAAAATTTTTAACCTCTAGTATGGTCAAAGAAAACAAGCCGAAGGAAATTTGTGTTTTGTTTGGTTTGGTTAAATGTCTTGGATGTTTTTTTACAATCATACTGTGTTTCCTACATATTTTACCCTGAAATAGAGCTACAATTTGGAGGATAGTTGAAAAATAGAGCCCATGAGCTCTATTATTTTTGGGCAAATCCTCATCACGGCAAGCAGATCTGAAAGCTCTAGATTATATTAATTGGGTATTAGTTTTGGGTTTTGACTTATGGCGTTTCCTTTGGCGCCTAAATGAAAATTATTATTGGGAGTTTAATATTTAATTTTCACATATTTTATATACTTTCTTTTAATAATTTAATGGAATTTCCCGCTGTTGTTGTTTATTGCCTTTTTGTGGGCACAAAAATAAAATAAAATTATTATTACGAGAAGAGTATATTCAAGACAGGATTTTATGGGGGATTTGTGTTTGTTGCTTTGATTTTCTTTTTATTTTTAATTTTCTTAACCAAAATAAATATAAATTTAGGTTAAATATGTATTTTATTTATTCTTTTCTTTTCCGTTAAAAGTTAAAAAGGGGAAGAAATAATTTAATTAAAAATAAAAATATTTGCATAAAAATAAAAGACAACAAAAATATTTTTGGTAAATTAAGGAAGGGGGGATTGACAAAAAGATTATGAAAAATAAGGGTAAGTGATGATGAATGAATGATAAATAAAGGGGGGGGGGGAATTTTATAAAATGTCATTCGTCATCCGGAATAAAAGGGCAAGAAACAATATTTTATAGGGGCCGGTGAGCGCCAAAACCCGAAACAAAAAATTGGAAATATAGTAGTTAGTCTGTGGATTTTTATTGGAATAATGTACAAAAATTATTCTGGTAAATGAACTAGCTTTGTCTGAAATGTGGCTAGAAAGACATAAATGGTTGTGATAAAAAATGGAATGAAAGTAGGCAGTTGGAGGGAAGAGGTGGGCTTAAATGATTTATTTCAATAAAAATTCTGACACTAATCTAGTCTTAAAAAGCATTAATCCCCAAGCTTTCTGCCATATATCCACTCAAACAAAAAATAATTTCAATTAAAAAAATAGGTCAGAAATAGTTGCATGCCTTAATTTTAATAGAAAAAAAACAAAGGAATTTTTAAATCGAGAATAAAAGTGTAAAAATATTTAAAGATTTTATTTTTAGATTATGAGTAAAGGCAGTTACTTTTTCTTATTAAAAATTAAAAATATTTGGGAGGTATTTTTAGGGGAAAAAATAAAAATGGGTGTATGTAGTACACGGACATGGATAAACACAGAAGGTTTTTATCTAAAAATTACAAGCTTTTCCCCTCTTTTTTTGTTGGCCTTTAATCTCTTTTTTTAATAATTTTATTTTTTGTCCAGTCCTGGTACGAGAAAAAATATTTATTTGTCTCGTATGATGGTATCTCTACATATATACCCTTTGGCCTTTTTTTAAAAACAAAGTATTGGTCAACTAAAAATAAATGAAAAAACTGGCCAAAAGCTTTTTTTCTGCTCAGATAAACATAAATACTTGGCAAAAGAAGAAAAATAGTTTTATTGAATAAATGTTGTTTGGAAAGGGAAGGGGAGGGGGGGGGGGGAATAAGGCAGGCAGGCTGCTGTTTAGTTAGAAAATTAGTTTGGAAGGAAAAAAAAGAATTTATGACCACCCGAGAAAAGAAAAATTTATAAATGAAAAAGAGGGGGGGGGGGGGGGGGAAGGATAAAAAAGAAAAATTGAAAAAAACATTTTTGGAGAAAAAAAGTTTTAAATTAAATTTTTGATATTCTTAAAAATATTTTGGGGTTGTTCCCCGAGGGGGGGGGGGGGGAAGGGGATTAAACACAAAAATTTGGCACCCATTTGTATTTTTCTCATATTTTTTATCCGAGCTTAAAGTCACACAAACATTCTAAATTAATTAAGTTTTTGAAAGGGTTTTCTTCCAAACATCTGCGCTTTTTTCTTATTAGTAAAATAATAATAAAATAATTTGGCACTATTTGAAGAGGAGGAAGTGTGCCTTCCCTTCCTCTTCCTTTTTCTTATTTTCCATCTTTTTGTAATTAAGAAAAATAGAATTAAATGCAAAAAATAGATAAATTAAACTGGATATTGAACAGGAAACTTTAATTTTTTATTAGGAATCCGCTGGAAAAGTCTAAATTTTTAGGAGAAGTTTCAGACCTGGTTGGTAACTTTTGTTTGAAACAAAGTCCGAGTTTTAAGATACCCACAAAATTAGCTCTACTAAGAGGGGCGGATCCGAAAAAAGACTGCATATTCGCGTAAGTTTTTGGGTCGGATATCCGGGGATTTCATAAGCCACCCTTATTAGCTACTCCTCTGTTTAAGATACTTCGATATTAGGTAAATTATAATAAGTTAAGTTTTATATCCCTAAAGGGGTAATTCTTTTATAACGAGGTCTGACTATAAAAATAAGTGAAAGAGAATACTAAATAGCTAAATTAAAAAGTCAAAAACTTTTTTTTCTTTTACAGAAAAATATAAGTAATTATTAAAAATAAATATCTTGTTATTTGTGTGTTGTTGTTGTTATTCATATGTATTCACTCAAAATTACCAAACAATCAAATAAAAATACTAGTATATATTTTTATATTCACATTTGCCGGCTGCTTTTTCTTCATATAAACACCAACAACCCCAACAACACACATCCTTTTCACGCACCCATCCGTAAATAATTTTTGTTGGAATAAAAAAAAAGAGAATTGAGCATTTCAAGTCTTTTTTTGGGGAAAAGGTTGAGAAGTTGAAAAAGTTGAGGGAAATTATCCCTTTCGCGTAGTCGAGGAAATTTATGGAGAATTTGTTTAAAGTAAGTTCTGAGTGAGGTAACTTGTGCATTTTTACCAGAAATGTCACGGATTGCCAGAAATCTGAATAACCCTTACTTTTTCCGAACCGAGCTGGATCTCAATAATTTTTAAAAACTTGGCCAGTCTTTTTCTTAAACCCGTGACATTACTGATTTGTAAATAAGACGTGTCAGTTGTAAATTGGTTCGCGGCATTCACCGATAGTCAGTTCTGGATGTTCCGAGCCAGAATAATAAATTTTTTTAAAACTTTTTAAATTATTTGAACAATTTTTTATTAGCAAAATTAAAATTTTTGGCACATTATTAAAGTGGAAGTGAGTCAAGTCGATTGTTATTATGTTTGTTCTTCTTTTTGCCCATAGCTACCCCCCCCCAGCTATAAATCCTTCTATGGCTGCAAAAGGCAAAATCCTCTCCCCCCAAAACTCCATAAATTTTCTTTTTCTCTATTTTTAATGCCCGCAGCGTTTTTCCGGTTGTTTGAATAATTTTTATTAGCTGGCACAAAAACATTGCATTGTTTGTTTTCAGATTTGGGACAAAACACCGTCCAAACAAAATACAGTCGGACAATTTTAGTCTGGACTTCCTCATGTTTTCTTCATTTTTTGTTTTCAACTAAACATTAGAGATCGACACGGGGGGAATCCCAAACGGGATTTTTACGGATCCCGTCCCGGATTTCTGGGGGTTGAACGACAGACGGGATTCAGGGATTTACTTAATTATTCTTGTGTGATCCCTTCCCTGCTATCTCTGTAAACTCGATCCCGGGAATGCCGATTTTGCCGATTTCTACTCTACATACAGTAATTAATTTTAAAAATATTTTCCTCTTCCAAAATAAAAATATCCCAAAAATAAACACTCCTTCCTTCCTTTTAAGCTTCTCATAAAAACTTTCCTCCTCCACTTTTCTTGACTCGTGTTCTCTCGACCTTTTTCCTTTAAAAAATACCCAATCAATCACAGCCCCTCTTTTGATTTTTTTTGCTGTTTTGCTTTAGGGGGTGTGATTTTTAAAAGAAAAGATTTAAAATATTATAGACCACCTGACACTTTTTTTTGTTTTTTATTGCTTCAATATATTCTCTTCAACTTTTAAAACCCCTTGTTTAACCTTTTTAACTTTACAACAGCCTTTAAATTCTAAACACTTTTTATTTAGTTTTTTATTTTTTTTAATTTAATAATTTTTTAGCTACAAATATAAATTAATTAAAACTTTCCCCTATTTTTACATTACAATATTATTTTAATTACAAATCTACTTCAATAATCATGAGCAAAACAGAGTTAGTTATATATTGTTTCTTTTAATTTTAAACATCCCAAACTTGAGTACATCCCCCCTCCTTTATTTTAAATATAATTTAGAATTTAATTCCTCTTTTAGGTATAACACTGTGGGGGAGAGTTCCTCTTATTTTAAGTAACAACCTCTCTCTCTCTCTCTCATTTTCAATTATTTATGGTAAAATTGAGAAGATCCAACTTTTAGCGCTTTATAAATAAAATTTTAAAAATCGGGCCCAGAAATTCTAGTCCATAAATTGAGTCCACAAAGAATATCAAACGTCGTAAAATTTTTAGACAAACAAATTTTTACCTTTTTAAATTTGGCATTTTGTTGTTTTTTTTATCCTTTTTAAAATTTTGATTGTTTTTCTTAATTAGTTGCCTTTTTGTGGTGTAAAAAAGTAAAATCTTTTTTTGTTAATTTTTCCTTAAATCTTTTATTATTTCCATTATTTTCGTACAATTGTCATTAACAAAAAAAAATGGAAAAGTAAGTGTTTAAACAGATGCTTATTTTTCTCTATTATTTTTTCATGTTTGGCAGTTATTTATTTAGTTTATTCCAATATATTTTTAAGTACTTTTCTCTTCATTTTTTCAATCAATATTTTTGAAAGATTTTAGATCATTTTTTACTTTAAAAAATAAATCTCTTATTTTTGGGATTTTTTTTACAAAAATTGAAAGAAACGAAAAAAATTCTGGGTAGTAACTGGTTTGTGGACAAAAGTCATTTGCGGATAATCGTTTTTTCCGGAGTCAGATCCGGATTCTATATTTCTCCTATAGTAGAGCCGAACAGAGTCGAACACATCAGGCAGGATTTTCTGGATTAATCTTGTCTGGACAAATCACTAAATCTGAAAATATCCTGATTAGGAACTTGGATTCTAGAAAATCCAAATATTTTCTATCCTTTAATTTCTCAAAAGTCTTCAAAATCCATTTGAAAAAGAATTCTTGGAAAATAAAAAAAATTCTTTTTTTTTTCAGTTTTTACGCAGAAGAAAAAACTTTGGCAGCCCCAAAATCAATGAAACAATCAGGCCCTACTTCTGGAGGATTAGCAACACATGCACCATCATTAGCAAGTGGAGGGGCAGCAAAATTTTATGGAAGGGATTTGCGGGAATATGATGACAAGGATATTGAAGGGCTTTTGTCTAATTTGTCAATGGAGGAATTGGAGGATTTAAATAATGATTTTGATCCTGATGTAATGATTTTTTGAAGGGTTTTTTCAAGGAATTTTTAAATTAAAATTGTAAGGAAAGGGAATGGAGGGGGGGGGGTGGTTTTTAAATTTAAGAGTAGGATAGATTGTTGTCCGCAAAGTAGGTGCGAACTGAACTTTTGTGAATTCTGCGCAATTTGCGAACTGACCTTATCAGATCTTTCAAACTTCTTTCTGATTTCGGAAAGATTTTTAGTTCGTAGCAAAAATATTATTTTTTTGACTTTTAAATTCCCAATCCCTCTACATGAATCACAAAATTTCCAAAAAAAATTTTTTTTAATTTTTCAGAATTCTCTATTACCACCCTCTCAGCGTTGTCGTAATCAGACCGATAAAGAACCAACAGGCCCCTATCAAAGAGATAAATTATTAAAATATTTGGAAGACAAGGCCAAAACTGAAAAAGATTGGGAAGAAGTTGTGCCATTTTCTCCAGGAATTAAAAGAGGTTTTTTTTTAAATTTTTTGGTAAAAGTAGGCTTCTTTAAGTTGGTAAAATTTAAAAATAGTTTTCTGAAACACTCTTCTTTATTTTTTAATTTTTTCACAATCCGCAATTTCTTGCGGATAAAAATTGGATCTTTAAAAATAATTTGGGGTACCCAATTACAGTCCATTCCTCCGACATCCCCTGTTCTCGAATCTAATTTTTTAGTTAAAAATTTAAAATTTTAGGCAAAATTTTTGAACCTAAAGACGATGAAGAAAGGGAAAATAAAATTGGTATAAAGGGGGAAATGCAAATGCCAATAGAATTGGATATTGATGATGACGATGATGAATATGATGGAAATGATGATGTTTTGATTGAAAAAGCTCTTAAAAATGCCCCAGAAGGGGATTTGGTTGATTTGGCTGGAATTTTGGGTTTTCTTTTTTAATTAAAAAATTTTATTTAATTTACAAAATTTTTTAGGAATGCACAATGTATTAAATCAACCACAATATTATAATGCTTTGAAAGGAAGAGGGCAAAATGAAGAAACTGGATTTTCGTTTAATGGTGTTATAAAAGCATTTCAACCACGTCCAGTCCCAGATGAACCTGAAAATGAAACTGATGTCGAGGATTGTATTAGGTTTTTTTTCTTTTTTTACTATATTAAAAATCTGGAGACATTTGGGGGTCAATATTTGCGGACAAAATTAGAACCAATTCAGATTAGAATAAACTTACTTGATATATTTCCAATGCTATGTCCTCAGAATCAGGGATAGGGTGGGTTGAGAAAAAGTCGGATCGGCTTGAGAATTGTGTAGGTTTCTAATCGGCTTTTACAAATTTCTTTCGCATCGAGTTTTGGATTTGTGGTCGAAAATACTGTTAAGGCTATCGGGTTTGAAATTTCTGCCCCGTTCCATTTACTTATCCATTACTATTTTGGATGGTATATTTTACATTACAACCCTTTATTTATGTTATACTATAGAATGTCCATAAATGACCACATTCGACCAGCCTTTTGTCTAATAATTAGTTTTTTATATTTTTTTAATTTTATAGAAGGCTAGAGCAAAGCGATACGTCTTTAAATGAAATAAATATAAATAATATGAAAAGAATTTCAAAAGAAAGAATTAGACAAATGATTAGAGCGGCGACGAAATCTAAAAATTTACAAAAATTGTCGTTGGCTAATACTGCTATTTCCGATCAAGAAGCTAGGGTAATTTTTTAAATTAAATTTTTTCAATAAGGGGACAGAAAGCCTTATGACTAGGGAGTGGCAAAACATGCAAATGCATATTTTGTATGCGGATATGCCATGAGCTGAAACGATCAAAAATGGTGTTTTTACGTCGGTACGAACATTAGGGACCGGGTTCCTATAGCATATTTTTGCATATTTCGGGGCTTCAGTGCATATTTGCATATCGATGCATATTCTGGGAAATTTTGCATATTTTTGCCAAAATTTGTGCATATTTTGGCATTTTTTGATAAATTTTAGTAAAAATCGAGCAAAATTTTCAAAATTTTGTAATTTTTTGAGCAAAAAATTTTTTGATAAAAATTTGGTGAAAAAATTTTTTCGAAAAATTTTTCGGGAAAAATTTTTTTCAAAAAAATTTCTTTGGTTGAATTAAATGTTAATAAAATCGTTAAGAAGTGCTCTTAAACTGCAATTTAAATGTGTATTTTTGTATTTTTTACTTGAAATATTGAATTTTAAAGCACATTTTCATTATTTTCGCTGCATATTTAGTGCATATTTCGGCAAATTTGGCATATTTTGATGCATATTTTGGGCTTTTTCAGTGCATATATATGCGCATATTTTGGAATTTTCCGTGCATATTTTGCCACTCCCTACTTATGACCATTAAGTTTTTTGGGCTTAATCAGCCTATCCTCGACCAAAATTATTGACACCTCTACAAGACTGCTCTCGATTTAACATAAGCTTTTTTTTGGGGTTTTCGGTAGTGTTTTTGAGGTGTGATTTTGTCTTGGAAAATTTTTCGGTCTTTGACACACCCACCTCGGTTTTGGTGAAAAGCTTCACTATTTCTAACTAAGTTTCCCAAAAAATATTTTGGTCTAATTTGGTTCTTTATCTTAACTTTAATTTATATTTTTTACAGCCTCTTTTGGAATTAATAGAAAGGACAGATTCTCTAAAAATTCTCAACATCGAGTCGAACTATATTAGTCCAGAAATGATTGCCAAATTACTGAGGGCAACATTAACAACCCAATCCCTCGTTGAATTTCATGCTGAAAATCAAGTTTTCTTTTCTCTTTACTTTTTAAAAAAATTTTTTTCAAAGAGACAATCAGTTCTTGGAAATCAAATAGAAATGGATATAATGTTAAGTGTTGAAGATAATGATTCTCTTTTACGAGTTGGCGTTTCTCTTCAATCTATGGAGGCAAGAAATCGTGTTGGTGAAGCCCTTGAAAGGAATTATGAACGACGTATATTTTTTTGTTAATTTGAGTTTTTGGGTTGTTTAACGTTTGGGTTCCGAAATATTCTTTTTTTATGAGGTTATTATCACTTTTGATTTTTTGGTAATATAAATCCAACTCTTCCTCCCTTATTTTTAAATTGACTTTTGTGGCGGGGGAGGTTTTTACCCCCAGAGCCACCATCCCCGCTTCAAAGACATCAGCAACTTTCCACACTCGCCTGTTCGCACATGTTTAAGCACTCTAGTTTTAACTAAACCAAAGCTTAAATTTGAGAGATTTTTGAAATTTTTCTTTTTATTAATCTCTGAATATTTTTAGTACGCCTGCAACGACTGGGAGACAAAGCAAGAAAGTAATATATACATGTACAAAAAAGTTAAATTGTTCACCTATTAAACAGGACACAAAGGTTTACAATACAGAAAATTTTGTCAAAGCTTTATATAAATCCCTCCCCCCTCCCTTTTCTTTGTTCAAAAAAGGACAAATCCATGGCGGATATTTTTTGTATAGAAAAAATTGGCTTTATTTTAGGACATGCGTCCCATGAGTGTTTAAGCGTCCATAGAGTATATACGTACCAACAATAATAATATAAGCGTCCTATCTATGTATAATTTAGATATGTTAAGAAGGCAGTCTGGTATGTTAGAAAGAGGCAAAAACCGGGTACACCGCTAATTTCACGCTGTTGATAAGGATTTGTAAATTATTTGGGGATTAATATTTTTTGGTACGCATGTATTCTGATGGGATGCTTAAACTCTCGTAGGACGCTAGTCCTAAACTAGAGCCAAAAAATTTTTTGATCAAATTTTTTATAAAATTTTGAAAAAAAGTCATGGTTTTGTTCAATCTAGTGATCGGTCCGTGTCATACAACTAACGGTATCTTTAAGTATCGGTATTACAGTACGTTACAAAATTCCGATCACTAGTTCACTCCATTAATTTACACAAAATTTTTGTACTCACAAAATAAGTTTGTTTTTTTTTTGAAAATTACTCTCATTAGTCATGTTTAGATTATTTTACTATTAATTAAATTTTATAATAAAAAAGTATTTTAAAAAAGTTATTTTTAAGCTATTTATTTATGTCAGTCTAGATATGGGTTCCCTCCCCTCCACACAATTTTTTTCTTGATGTACTTACTAAATGGTCAGTCATTTCTTTCTTGAATTTCGGGACATCATTCAATCAGTTACTCTTCTTAGAACATGTTTTTTGTGTGTGAGACACATTTTTCTTCAATTTTTTTAATTCAAAAGAAAATTGAAAAAATGACAAAAAATTTTTCGGGGCTTCTTAAGCAATTTTTAGATTATTAAATAAAACAAGAAAAAAAGAAATTGAAGCGAATTAAGGTGAATATAAAAAAAGAAAACGGAAATGCTTTCGTGAAGGGTTTTACTTGTTTGTGGAGAAGAAGACCTTTTTTAGTTTTATATTCTTTTTTGTTTTGTTTCCTTGACTTTAAAATTATCCAAACTTTTATTGAAAATGAGGTTTTAATGTTTCTTTTTTTGATCCTTAACACTCAAATGTCTCGAAATCTTTTAAAAAATTTTGCTCGCTTCGCAAAATTTCGGCGGCCGTTCCGCTCGACATCCCCGGCCTACTGTCCGTTGCAGCACAAAAACAGTTTTCCGCGAAAGAAATCTCATTTGAAAGAGCTCGGTGAGCAGAGTCGAATGTCACCAAAAACAACATGATTCATTCATCTTGAGCAAAGTTATAGTTGCGCACGCCAAACATTTCTGCGCCGAAAAACTGGCGCCCAAACGTTCGCGCCGAACCTCTTTAAATTTCAAGTTTTCTCTTTATTTTCTCCCTTTTTTATTATAACAATAGTGGGTAATAATTTAGTTTCGATAAAATAACAATAGAAGAAGCATCCTATTTTAAGTATTCTAAAATTGCCAAAAATGGAAAGGCTAAAGTTTGCTAAAAATATTTTTTTAATAGTTTCTGCTTTAGTTTAGAATTATTTTTATTTTTTCGTTAAATATTTTTAAAGGTATGTTGATTTAAAATGTCTTTTTCAAAACTAAAAGCCCGTTGAGGTTATTTTTAATAAATAGGTTTTCCTTAAAAACCTTTTGATTTTTTTAAAATATAACAAATTTGTGTGTGAAATTTTAAAGAGAAAAAAAAGAAATTGAGAAGAAATACTAGAGGTATTTAAATGTAGATGAGAACTACTCAAATTTCTAAAAATAAATTTAGAAGGAAGGAGTATTCACTCAAAATTATTTTTTGTTTTGTTTTTCTTACCTTTAAAAATAAATTTGCTGCAAAAATAGAAAATTCCTTAAAAAATTATTTTTAAAAAGATTATTAGCTCAAAAGATGTCGTCTTTCTTCAATTTAATTATGTTATTAATTATTTTTTATTTTTGTTGCTCAAATTGTAAGTTTTTTTTCTTAAAAATAAATCTCCTTAAGTTAAAAATAAGCATTGAAAACCTAATAAATCAAAAAACAATTTTTTACATTTTTTATCGTCCCATTGGGAATTGTTTAAATGATGGATAGATAGTGAAGGGGGGATTTGTACACTAAAATATTTTTGAATTCAAAGATTTTAAAATAACCCCCCTCCCCCCCTGTAAAAGTGCTGTCTAATGTCCAATATTATCCTTTTGTCACACAATCATTTTGAAAAAATCTGTATAAATGCCCAACAGTTTTAATCTTCTTTTTATCTCCCAGTTCAAAATTATCTAATTGTTCAATTCAGAACTGTCCTTCTATCACAGTTCAATTATTTTCAATACCGTTACCTGCCCAATTACCGTATAACGAATTCTAATTGTTTTAAATTCCTCCAAATATTTTAAACAATTTGTTAACTAAAAAAATATCAATTTATTTTTCTTTCAAAGAAATTACTTTAAGTATATCCTCTCTCTTCTCTTTTTATTTTTATTTTCAACCAATTGCTTTTTAATTTTATTTTTAAATATATCCATCAAATAAAAGAGAAAATCTTAACAATTAATTGTTTTCTTCAGAGAACTTTCTCTTCTTTTTTTCAACACTTTTTTTGTTTTTAAATTTACGAGAGTTCAATTCTTAAATAATTACCAAGAATACCTTTTAAGAAAGTCACCGTTTTAAATTAGGCTTAAGTCTGTGGGACGTGTTTTTAGCCTGACTTTTGACTTCTCCGATCAGCTCAATTCCCAAGAGTTATTTCCACAAATATTACTGTGTCCCCTTAGACCAATTTTTACCTCGAAAATTTGCCTCATTTCTAATGCGTGACGGATATGGACGAAACAGGTGTCAATGAGGGGTAATTGGTATCGATCTGACGACAAGGGACCCAGATACAGGGCTCGAAAATCGAAATGTCAACTATGCAAATTTTTTCTCCTTCAACTCGGCTCTTCGAGCCGAGTTGAACCCGTTCTTGCATTAAAAACCCACTAAAATTGAATAGTCCTTAAAATTGACTTAATAACCAAAAAACTTTTTTTTTAATTTTCCCCTCAAAATTCCCCTTTTTATTTTTTAAAGGTAAATTAATTATCGTCAGCCAAATGAATCGATTTTCAACAGCCGATAAATTAAACAAAAGCCGACCAGCTATATTAGTGCCTAGAGGAGGAGGAGGAGGAGGAAATAATCACCATCCATCTTCTACCACAATTTTACCTTCTACAAAAAATATTTTAAAAATTCAAGAAGAAAAACAAAGCTATAGAGAACAATTACTTTCTGTTATTTTACAAAATACTTCAAATACGTAAGTTTTATTTTTTTGGAAAATTTATTTAGGGGGGGGGGGAGAAGGGGGAGTTGACGTTTCCGCAAATTTCGTTGTCTAAATGCCGCAAATGTGCTTGCAAATGTGTTCGAAAAAGCCTGTAGTCGATTAAAGGTCATTTAGAAATTAAAAAAATCTAATTTTAACAAAAAGGCGAACTGTATATACAAAAGAGAGTCTGACAAGACGGGTGTGAACAAAAATTAAAGAAAAGCTTATATTGTAGAGGGAAGCCGTATATGTATTAGTGATGTTCGGGTATCCCGACTCCCGACTCGGGAAAATTTCCCGAGTTTTTGGCCTCCCGATCCCGATCCCGGTATCAATTCCCGAGTAATTCGGGAAATTTTTACACCCCTAAGAATGGCTTTGTTGATATAATTATATTTTTATTTTTCGCCCGCGGCGCAAACAATGAAGAAATCTGGCTCCATGGCCTTTAAAAATTGTCAAAATTTTGCCTGCGGCGCTAAAAAAAGAGAAATTTGGCGTTGGGGTCTTACATAATTCTCAAAATTTTCGCCTGCGGCGCAAAAATTGGAAGAATCTGTTAAAAATATGTGAAATCGAGGGTTGGCGCAAACAAAGGATTTGAGATTAAGATGTCTTTAAAATTTGATTAGCCAATGGGTATATCGAGCTGTTTGAGCAATACCTTTTATTTGATAGACCACTGAACTAATTCCGCAACCCAACTATATCCTTGTTAATATATAATGCCCTCTTAATCAACTCTAATCGCTCTATTCCTTCCTCAAAAAGTCTTAAAATTCACGCCAGGTAAAAAAATCAGAATTTTTTATTGAAATTCCCGACTCCCGATCCCGAGGTCATTTCCCGAACCGACTCCCGTTTCCCGATTCCCGGGTTTTTTCTTCTCCCGAGCATCACTAATATGTATACAGTATCCCTTGGACAGCTCCTCCTAGTGCCCAAACAAAAAAAGTTATACTTAAAAAGGGTCTCTCAAATAATTACCCAGGTTAACTATTCGAGCATTCACGGTAATAGAGTTCCATTTTCAACATTTTTAACAACCTTTTTATTATTTTCTTTTAAATTCAAGTTTCAAATTTCTTTTTTTCTAAAACTTCCCCCACTTTACTCAAAGGAGAGTTTTTTTTAATAATTTTTAACCGCAATTTTATTAAAGTAACATTTGTCCTTTTTTTTAAATAAAATACTCATAATTTTTTTTCTAAATTTGAAACAATTAAAAGGGATAAAAACGTCAGACTTTTTTTGACAGATTTGTGCTAAATAGGTTCCGTGAATTTGTGTCTGACGGTAAATTGCCCCCCTTCCTCTCTCCTCTTTTTTGGCAACTTTATTTTTAAAAAAGCAAAAATCAAGTTTTCAAGTTTCTAAATTTATTCATCAAGTTTCTTTTAAGGTTTTTACTCATCTCTTCCCCCCCCCTTCCCCCAATTTTGCTTTTCCTTTTTTTTTAAATTGGGTTTTCTTAGAAACCTTTTTTTTATTTTTTTTACATGACAAGAAACCCTTCATTTTTTTCTTTTCATTTTTAAAATAATGTGCCTTAGATACATTCGTTACGTACACATTAGCCATTCAATTTCTCAAGGAGTCTGCTTTTTTTTCTTAAAAAAGAGTACCTTTAAATTGTAAAAAAGGATGTTAAATATTTTTAAATTTCAATTAAACCTCGGACTTCCACCCCTTGATGTTAACGAGTAACACCTCCTGGTCTAGGAACAGGGTCCGGAAGAAATCCGGAGCGGAGCAACAGCCAGCCGTATTTAATGTACGGATTACACATAATTATTTTTCCAGCGATACTCAAATTGTTTTTGCGTGGAATAAATTATTTTAAAAAACGTCTACTGTCCAAATCACTATGTACTGCCCACTCACTGTCTAAATCATTCACTGGCGAAATCACCACACACGTTTAATAACGAGGAGTATATTAATTAGTAATCCAAAAACTACCATTTTGTCTTACATTCTTATCGCCCCGTTCTTAATTGTCTTTTTGTCGCAGCGTCCAATACCCCAGTTGGACGTAAAAATAAACAAAAACAATTCTTATTTAGTTCATTTCCACAAACTGCAGACTCCGAATCTATTTCCTCCCTAAATACAAATCAAAAACAATACCAACCAGAGCCTAACGGCAATATGAAGTCTAAAGATTTTGGAAATGGTGATGGGGAGTTGGACATGCTTTTTGGTGAATCTTTTTAGTTGTTTTAACTAAAAAAATTTCTTTACCCTTTCCAGGCTTTTTTGTAATGAATGGCGCCTGTATTGGTAAACAAAAATTAAATTTAAAAGGAGTACTTCAATAAAAACTCCTTTTAAGTGTTTTTTCTACTCTTTGGTGTTTGTGTAATTTGTAATTGTGCAGCCAGAAAACCAAAATTCCACGGCAGCAAAGAAAAGAAAATTAAAAAACCTACAGTATCCAGACTTGTCGCGGTAATTTAAATTAGGGTTCAGCGGTACCGATATTCCGAGAAAAAACCGGTATCGGTATTTCGGGTTGATGATACCGATCCCGATACCGGTACCGACTCGGGATCGGGATTAGCCTAAATCGGTATCGGGATTTGAGTTAATGATACCGATACCGGTACCGATACCGACTCGGGATCGGGATTGAAAAATCGGTATCGGTATTTCCTAAAAAATTTTTAATCAGAAAAAAATAAATAAATTATTTAATAAATAAATTTATTCCTCATTTTGAAAAAGGTATTAATCTATAGTAAAATGATAAATTAGCACTATAAAGCCATTCTCGAGACAAAAACATCTCAGGAACCAATAGAAGACCTTCCAAATCCATCGATATCCACTTTAATCCTCCGATATCATCTTCATCCACGGGTATACCCCAAATTCAGCTTTATATCTCAAATCAACTTTGGGGATTAGATGGGATATCAGTAGACTTATTGGAGTACTAGGGATACCCCCGATAATCGAATGATATCCCTCAATATTGGAACCAGACCTGGATAAAACTTTTTTTCATTAGGCTTCGTTCTTTAACAAAACACCTGTGTTTCATTAATGAACATTATTTTACTTTTAAGCCAAAATTTAATTCACCGAAGGCGCCAAAATCGAAAATTTCGAAAAATTTTAAGGCCAAAAGGCCTGCTTTTTCCCATTTCAGCGCCGCAGGCGAAATTTTCAAGACTTTTGTAAAGTCAATAGGCCAGAGTTGTTCCTTTATTAGCGCCGCAGGCGAAATTTTTGATAATTTTAGAAGGCCGTAGGTAAAAAATTCACTTTTTCAGCACCGCAGGCAAAAATTTTGAAAATTTTTATAGACTAAGAAGCCAGATTTCTTCAATTTTCAGCGCCGCAGGCAAAAATTTTGAGAATTTTAGAAGGCCATGTGGCTAATTTCGTCCATAAAACAAATGAAAAATCTATCCTTAGGGGTGTTAAAAAATACCGATATTCATCGGTATCAGACGCTAATCCCGATACCGATACCGATACCGGCCTCGGTATCGGTATCGGTATCAGCAAAAACGGTATCGGGATTTATCATTCGGTAGCGGTATCAGTAAAATCGGTATCGGTATTCAAAGAGACCGGTATAATACCGCCCGATACCGGTCGGGATCCCGATACCGCTGAACCCTAATTTAAATAATAAAATTTAAAAAAATAAATTTTTAGGCAATGGCCCCAACAGGTTTTGGTCAACGCTCAACTACTAAAGTGCCATCAACAACTAAAAAGGCAACAGATATTGCCAATAATCTTAATCCAAACTCAACAAATAGGTGATTTTTGGGGACGGGGATGGGACGAATCGGGATTTTTGTTAGTATGGGACGAATTGGGGTTTTCAGTGGGATGAATTGGAGTGTCATTGGAGCCCAGATTTTTAATTATGACCTTTTTTCGAAATAGTTATGATGAATTACGTTCAAATCCCTTGTTATTTTTTGAAAATATTTTGATACGCGGACTTTATCACCTATTGGAACCTATTTTGGCGTTTTGAAACCTAAAATAGGTCGTAACCTATTTTGGATATTTTTAAGGAAAATACGATTTTTTATCAAAAATTTTTAAAATTTTGTCAATTTTTATTACCCCCTATTTTGGCATTTTTTACAACCTATTTAGGTACCTATTTTAAGGTTTTTACAACCTAAAAATCTGGGCCCTATTAATCATACTATAATGTCATTCAAGTCCCTAGTTATTTCCCAGACTCCCTTCAATTTTTTGTCCAGTTGACTCTTATAATAAATTTTATTAAAAATTTTAGCCGTCGCGGGTCATCAGCATCGATTGTTCTTGAAATTAATGGTAATGGAGGTTCTGGGGTATTTACAGCACGTACTGGTCTAATGACTGCTCAGCCACCCTCTAATAGATCCTTTAGGGTATTTATGAAGAATTTGACCGTATCTGAAAGGAGTGCTCGGATCGCATTTTTCCTTGCATTTTTCCTTACCTCGGAATGGGGTCAATTTTCCTTAGTATTTGATGTTTGTCATAAGGCAAAATTGTTTAAAAAATATTTTCTTCTCTGTGTATTTTGTTGGGTAAGTGGCAAAACTCGTTCGAGACAAAACTTGGAACGACCAAGTCGGTCTTACCAAAACTCGGTCCATTTTATTTGGGGTCTTTTTGGACGAGTGCTGTTATCTTTGTTTTTTTGTTCTCGTGTCAGGCTAACTAACGGGACGGAAAAAACAACAACAGACAAATTGCACCGAGTTTTGGTAAGACCGACTTGGTCGTTCCAAGTTTTGTCTCGAACGAGTTTTGTAAGACTGAGTTTTGCCACTTACCCAACAAAATACATAAGCAGAGAAAAAAATATTTTTTACACGATTTTGCCTTATGACAAACATCAAATACTAAGGAAAATTGACCCCATTCCGAGGTAAGGAAGAATGTAAGGAAAAATGCGATCCGAGCACTCCTTTCAGATACAGCCAAGAATTTTTTGTTTATTAAAAGACCCCTTTTCAATTAGAATCTAGTAGCCAAAGCAATGGCATCAGCCAAAATAAATTCAACAACAACAACAAATAACCAAGAAATACCCCAATCTCCAAAGGATAATCAACAGTCTAGATCAAACACAAATTCGCCTACAACAAACAGAAGAATGTCTGGAGGAACTCCTTTATTAACAATTAATAATAATTTAAATAATTCTACTGATGAACAGAATAATAATAATGGTAATTAGATTTTGGAATTTATTGAAGAGAGAGAGAGGGGGGGGATTTTGAGGAAGGAGTGGGTAATTTTTAATGTTCTTGATTGGATAGAGAATTAAATACATTACAAGATTTCAAAATTAAAATTCTTGTCTGATTGATAAAAAAAGATTTTATCGATAAACTTCCGAAAAATCACTTTTATTTTTTGATATCTTGTAGTGTATTTAATTCCCTTTCCTTTTAAGAACTACCTATTTACTCCTTCTTGAGTTATAGAGTTGGGACTTGTTGAACTGCTCCGTTTATTTTTAAAATTTCATTGCCCTATCAAATTTTTGTTTTGCACAATTAGTTTTTTTAATTTTTATGCACAACTAACCCCCAATTTAATTTACTAACACTTTAAAAACCCTTCCACCCACCCCAAATTCCTTTTTGTGTTTAGTTCGACTTGACAGTCATCTACTACTACAAAAACAACAAAAAATGATTGAAGAATATGAGGAAGAGGAGGAGGAAATTATTTTCCTCTAAAAGATTTTTGTTTTTTTCTTTTTTGTTTTTAATTTTTGTTTTTGTAATTTAAAAAATTATTTTTTAATTAAAAATTTTTGTTTGTGTTGTGTTAAAGGAAGGACCATATTTTTTTTGAAAAATGTACTCACGGTTATTATTTTTATGCACAACTATTCTCCCTAGAGACGTCCAAAATTCTTAATCTTAATTCAAGACTTTTCTTGGGGTTTTTCGGTATTGGTCTTAGAAAAATTTCGATCTTGGACACCCAACTATGAACGGATTAACCCCTTTTTAATCCCAAAACTAGGCACTCATCCCTTTCTATTTAAGATATAATTCATTAATTTTCATCCCTCTCAAGGGGGCATCTAAAAGTAAAACTTTCGTATTATAATTTTTAAATAATTCCATTAGACTGTTGCCCCAATGGAATGCATGTCTTTGAATTGCCAGTGGAGGTAGAAGTTCATCATTGTACTCCTCCCAACAATGAAACAAAAAATAAAAAATTAACAACAAAATTACCAAATTCAGTTTCTGTTCCTTTAAATTTGGTTTCAGAACCTCAATCAACCTTCGCAGACTTACAACAAACTTGTTTGGCAGAACAAAGCCAATTTGTTGTTAGAAGGGAGGGAGTTAGTGCATCAACAGCTTGGATAGGTAGTCTCTAATGTTTGGTCTCAAACGTCGGGTCCTATGTTGGAAAAACTGCCTTTATCCTCAAAAACAATATATAGGCAGTTTCAGTCTCGAGGCCATATTTTGGCCATAACCTTTTTGTACTTAACCAATTTAAATAATTATTACATCAACCACAAGCTCTGGATGTGAGGATTATTTTAGTGGGAAGGTTTGATTTGATCAGATCACCCTACAAAAAGTTATAGCCAAATAAATATCAAAAATCGCGATTGAGCGTACTTATCCAATCTTTGCTTTTTGTGTAATATTGGGCCACAATTTAGATACTCAACATTAAAATTTCGATCCGCAAAAACCAAAAATCCACAAGCTTGTTTATTTAGGTCCACCACCTTCTCAATCCTACCTAAGTAAACATCGTTGTTCTTTGGTTGTTCCAATCCAAATGCCTTGTAACGGCGATTGCCGAGTTCAAATAGACGAAAACAATAAAGAATTAAATAATAAAGAAAATCAACAACGACAACAAAATAATTCCCGTCAATCACCTTCAGCTGAAGATTTTAGCGTTATACGTCAAAATTTACTTGGCCCTCTAACATTTGATGATCTCTACTATATTCATTAAGGGAAGAATTATTTAATTATTTATTTGAAGAGTGCCTCATTTATTTTTAATTTAGAAAAAATATAATTGTTGAATTTAAAATAAAGATTTTTAAATAAAATTATTAGACTTTAATTAAAATAAATTTAAAAATTACCCAGAAGCGGAGAATTCTTAGAGGCTAGAAAGTCCTAAATTTCTCCCAGAATTTACTATTAGAATCAATAAAGTAATGCGATCAACTTAGAAGGGTCAACACCATAAAAGTCAACGTTTTAGTACCCAATTTTGACCAATAAGGTGTTGACCTTCTGGGGTGGACTTGAAGCAGTGTGACCAACAAAAAACGAAAAAAAATTTTTTTATTAAATTCTTTCCTTTTTTTAAAAAAATTTTGCAACAAACATAAAAAAATATTTTAAAATTTCTAGAGGTTTTTACAGATTTTAACAGTTTAGAAGAAAAAGGAAATAAACGAGAGAATATATGTTGTAGGGGGGAGTTAGCCGACAATTTTTTATGATAAAAAAAGAAAAGAAACTAAACAAATTTTTAAACAAATTTATAAAAAATAGGTTTAATATACACATCACCGGGCTGCCATTCATGTTTTTTTTATTAAAAACTGCAAAATTTAAATAATAAAATGAAAATTAAAATTCAGTCGGAACTCGCTATAAGATATACAAGTGGGGATGAAAAAGCGTATAGTAGAATAATGAAAGAGGGGTATCTTAAAAAGGGAAATAACGCCTAGACAGTTCTCTCCCTCCCTCCCACCCAATGACCAACTCAAAAAAAACAATTTAAATTTAAGTAAGTGTAGCTAATATTGGGTATATCTTATAGTGGAATCCCGACTGTTCAGTCAACTCTTTATTAGCTAAAACTAAAGGATTATGAGAGAGGGAGGGGAAAGAGTTTAGTGAAGAAAACTGGGGGGAAGCTTGTAAAGAAACTTTAAAATAAACGAGAGTTGACTGTATATAAGCATATAACTAAATTTAAAAATGTGCTAACAATTAAAAGAAAAATTTAAAAAAATGTCGGCTAGCTCCCAATTAATTTTCTTTCTTTAAATATAAACACGAATTTAATTGAATTTAGACAATTTAAAAAGAACTAAAAAATTTTTAACTTAAAAATTCAAAAAAATTATTCAGTTTTACTCTAAAAATTAAAAAAAAAGAAAGAATAAAATAAAATACCGGGTTGCCAAGAAAGGGGGTATTTATAAACAAAAAAATAAAATAAAAATATTAATAAAATTTTTAAAATTTTATTAAAACAATTTAAAAATGTTTGTAATAAAGAAAAGGCGCTAACCGGGAAATATATAAAAAATATTTTTTAGTAAAAGCTACAATTTCATTTGAGGGGGGGGGGGGGAATAATAGAAACAAGTTTTTGTCTAAAAACTTTTTCAGAAAAAATGTTTATTTTTTTTAATTGAGAAGGAATTTGAAGCAAGTTTTGATTCTGAAAAACTTAAAGCAAAACTTATTCCAAACTCTCAAATCAAAAATAAACTTGAAACAAACTTTTTTTAGAAATATAGCTCCATATTTTAGACAAAAATTGTTTTTTTTTAAATAGCCGAAGTGTAAATTAATTTTGTGAGGATAAATTTCATTTATATATATCACAATTTTGCTCGGCTTGGAAAACTATAAAAAATTTGAAAGGGTAAAACAAGTTTATAGAGAAAATAAATTTAAAAGATTTTTTGCTTCAGATATCCTTATTAGTGTTATTCAAACGCGATTGTTCAGTATCGGTATTTTCGGTAAAATACCGATACCGAAAAATACCGATTTTTAAAAAATTGTTCGGTACCGTATTCGGTATCGGTATTTCGGTAAAAATACGGCGGTATTACCGAAAAATACTGCGGTAATACGGTACCGTGAATAACACTAATCCTTATTGTTCTGATTGAAGCAAAAATGTTTTTTTATAATCTCTTAAACTTGTTTTAATAACATTTTAATGAAAAAAGCGGGAAAAGAGTATTTTTTGTCAGTAAATGTCCAGTAGACTCCCCAACTGTCAGAAAGATTACTTTCTTTGCATTTTTGGCATTAGGAGAGGAACACGAAGGAAAAATAAAATGTGTTCCCCTCCTAAAATGAATGAAGAATTCGGATTCTCTTTGCGGACGGGTTGGGGGAGTCAACTGGACATTTAACTTTTTTTACCAAGAGTTTACCGAATTATATTTTTAAAAATACTAAAAATCTATAAAATATTTTTTAATAAGTGTCCAAGGCTCTAAATAAAAGAAATTTGAAAGAATTGCGATAACAAGGAGTTTTTTTTTATATTTATGGAAAATAAAAACAATTAATTGAATAAACAAATGCCCTATAGATCACCAATGGATATTGGTGGTAATCTTTTGGGTTCAACAAAAATTGATGGAAAACACGCTAA